ACAATTCAAACGTTACCATAGAAACATCATCAAAACTGTTTATTTGCCTCTTTTATTTTTACATTTTTAATTTGTTTTGGAATAATAATAGTTTATATTTCACAAATAATTAAGGTCATCAATGGATGATAGTTACATATTTTTTAATATTGTATTATAGTCAGCAATTCATGATTACAATATGTAATTTGATGAACATAGACATACTTACAGTTATTTACATATTTACATTGTGAAGAGCAAATAATATTATTCTCACATTTCACTTCAGTGTCTACTACTCAGAAAGGAGGTCGCGGGGCCATTTTTCCTGAGAGGCCTTATTGGTTTGTAGGGATGGGGTCTGTTGGACAAGCCTTGGCGAGATTATTGGGGTGATTATTGTCGAACTTGGCAAATTTTTGAGGAATTACGTTTGGGATGAGTGGGATTTAAGGTCGTTGTAGAGGGTAGTATTGCAAGACAAAATACGGAGCGTTTGTAAGAGATCTGAGGATTTTAGACTGATAGGAATGGAAACGTCAGATATTGGAAGGCCTTGCGGTGCCACCTGCCACACAGTTCTATACCGTTCGGTTGTAGTAGCGTTTTGCACATTATATGTTTGTTTTTCGCCAATAGCCTGGAATGTAGTCCTATAAATTTTAGCGTTTGTTTCCATCTTGTAATACCACCAAGTCGTATTAGTCGTACATGCTGATTCGCTGATAAAGGTGAGTATAGGTGGAACCCAAGGTAACTAACGGGTAGTGTAAATGTGACATGGACGCACTTGCTTTAATTTATCTTCATTTTCCATTGTTTATACCAATCTGCTATTCATGTTATATTTGCTGGATGATTATGTTTTCAGAGAGCGCAGACTGCTGGGCAGTTAAGGCTCTTTCGACTTGTGCATACCACCTCACTTGACAAAACTCTGAAGGTGTTAGCAATACTGTGTCCATTATTTTTTCGACTGGGGCTTCCGACATCTAGGTCATTTCAGCCCCAAGTTTATATTCTATTTACCCTTTAAAACACTACATTCATACAAATAAATACATCCATACAATACACTCATTCCGTTTGGTCGGTGGAGTGCTTGATATTCCTCCACCGCCCCTATACTCAAACTAATCTAGATTGGGGTCGATGGAGTACTTTTATAAATATTCCGCCATCGACCCCGAACACACACTCTTACGCTATCATCGTTCGAGGGGTGATGATGACGTTATATTTCACCCTCACCAATCGCCATTTACGCTAATAAATACATGCACTCAGACAAAACATATAGACACACAACACATGACATACTATAACAATAAAAAAAAAAATTTCCCCTAAAAAGCGGAACAGATGCTCTGAAACTCGCAACCGTGTTCGAGATCTCTTCTTAAGTCCGGCGGCATGCCTACACGCTCTCTGTCTGTGTCCATATTGTTGTCAGTGGAACCACTGGACTATCTGCTCCCGAAGATGTGGCTTTTTACCTTCACTCTTGTGTGGAAAATTGAAGTCATGTTACATATTTGGTGGGCAAAAGATGTGTGTTCGACATCCACGAAAAATAAGGGTAATGGCACTTTATCTGCCCCGTCATTTCCTCCCTTTGATTCAGTACATTCGAGACTTTGGCTATGTTGAACTCCATTCGTTGAACTCTTCCTTAATGACTTGGATTGGAGTGTTATAGTGCAGGTTTCTTACTGCTACTCTCTCTTCTTTGAGTTGGTACGTGTGAAACTGGGCTTTTGTCTCAGTAAGATATTGTACTGCGCCTCTGTACGAGTCAGCAATTATTGCCGGAATAAGTCTGTGTCAGTCTAACGTTTCAAGCAGGTTACTGCTCCTCATCCTATTTGCTCATCAAGTTACCTACACATTAACGGAAAATCTTCCAAATTTTTCACAAGTATTAATGGTACACTCGGGGAAGCAATGATTTCAGAATTTTCTTGAAATTTTTCAAAGAATCTGAATGGATATTTTGTAGAAAAGGGAGACTCTCTGATTTCAACGGTTGTAGGTGTTAGCGGCGTGGTGGTTGAGAAACCTTGTCTGTTCGATAGAGCTGAATGTGCATAGTTACTAGAGGTTGATGTGGGTTGAAGCATATAATCTAACGCTAGTTTATCCAGGTGTTCTCGCAGCGATTTTTTTATATCATTGGGTGAAAGGGACTGCGAACCTCCTGCGTAAGGTCTCTTGGTAGTCACCATCTTTTTGATGGTAAAACTTGTCTCCCATTAGGGAGATCAAAGCAAGGAGTATATGTTTGTCAATTAAATAATAATAACTACAAATGTAATATAAACATTAAAAGAAAACATTCAAAGTGAAAAAAGAAACAAAAATATGGTCATATATTCACTGGAGGTCGAACCTGGCACGTTGAGCTGATAAGATAATGTCGGAGATATGTCGATGACCTGAACATGCAGGCTTCCTGTCCGATCATCTATTAACTTCCACAAGTCCACTCAGTCGCTCGGTATCGCCAAATCCTTCGTAAATTCGATAGAATCCTCTCAGGAGCAATGGGTCACACTCTGTGCACTTTTACGCCGATCTTCGGTGGCTGTAAAGCAATCCACAAATTAACGACTTATATTAAATCATTTATTTAATATGGCCAGCTGAACTCTTGTGGCCAGTTTATTTAAAAAAGCGACCTTGTAAGTTATTAAATATTATATAAAATACAAAATATAAAATATCTGTTTGAATGTGACTAGCATAAAATCTATTTTTTATTAAACTTATCAGCGTTGTTGAAACTGATGACAATAAATTTGTATTCCCGTATCGTTCCTATGCGTATACGTTCTGATCAATTCAGCACGTTCTGAGCCTTCATTGAAGTGAAAGTCGTTGAATAGAAAAGAAAGACGTTCGATTTTCACAGAGATACACTCGCGTTGAATAAAATACAAATGTCCCCTGCAAAATCCTCTTTGTTATATAAAATATAAATCTTGGCAAAATGGAGTATGTAATCTTATAGAATTAACGGAATTTGGGGTCGCATTTGGCCGCAATTGTTACGTTTTTGCTTCCACGATCGACTAGTTTTAAATAGCTCATGATCATAATTAAGTTTTCAAGTAAGCATTACCGGCTAAAAATCCACTTCCTAAACATTTGGAGAGATAATGAACTCGGTTTAATTGGTGTGCTATGGGATTTAGCTGAGGGGAGATTATGTTTTGATAAAATCTCCTCTCTAAGAAACTTCGTTGCAATAATGAAAGTTTTTCTGCAGTTTTATTGTTCTTAGTCATTAGAAAGAAATCTTCTTATAAGGAAGTTGTAGAATAAGATATACATTATTTTTTCTTGTTGTTTGACAGCAGTTCATATATTAAAGAAATCAAGTTCAAAACAAAATTGAAAATATCGCAAATGGAAATTTTTGACAGGAGATTGATCAAAACTGATCGCCTCTGGGTCGTTTATCTTCGATGATGACCTATCTGACAGAACCAGAAACAGTAATTTTATATCGAACCCGCGAAAAATTATTAAATTCTACAGTTGAAAAGTTAAATTCTACTTGTAAGTCATATATTTGATACAAAAGTGACGTCGTGCGATATTTGCTTGAATTATTATTTTTTGCATGCTTAATGTTATCTCTGTTTGCTGAGATAAGAACAGTACATGTCATGTGGTAAAACAGAGCTCGACTCAAAAAGTCGTTTCAATATACGTAAAAATGGCAAAAAGGAGGAAAAATTCGAAAGGTTGGGTTGAGATGGGAAGTTGGTGCTCGAGGGGATCGAAGTCAGGATAGCTCAAGTGGTTGAGTAGCGGCGTATCTAGCCGAAGGTCGTGGGTTCGAATCCCGCTCGTGACACTGACTTTTTTATCTCAACTAAAAACCTTAATTAATTGAATCGTAAGATACTTGAATCAACGAAATCTTGTCATTAGCAGGCATCATTTCTAACCGTAAACGTTATTAACAATAATTTTTTTCATTGCTGGATTGCCGTTTGTTCTTTATTGTTCCTCACTCCTAAACCTTTCGATTCTTTAGTCCTAATAACTTTGTACGATTGCATACGTTACTGTGATTGATTTTGCAATCGTCTACTTTATTTACCAAGTTTGACAGTTATTTCTTCCAATCCGATATGTTCGGATTCTTCATTATCCAGGATATCCGAGAATCAATGCATCCAGACGTCCAGTCGATTCTTGAATACATCCTGCACAGAGAATTTAATTGCAAACATTTCAGTTTGGAATATTTTGTACTACAGAGAAGCATATCTCGAACTGCTGTACTTAGGGTACCAGCGGTTCTACTCTTTTTCAAACTTACTAACCTTTTACCTTTCACTTTCTCTAAATTTCTGAGTAGTTGATGTAAGGATGATGTGTGGTCTATTTTGAAATTAATTACTTTTATAATCCAAGCTTTCAATCGTTTATTAATGAAACCTACAAAAATATATCAATAATTTAAACATTCATTTACTGTGGCATATTATGACTAATTTCACTATTTTCGTGGTCCGCTTGACCAATTAACACTTTACAATTAATTAAGGTTTTTAGTTGAGATGAAAAAAAGTCAATGGCACGAGAGGGATTCGAACCCACGACCTTCGGCTCAATACGCCGCTGCTCTACCACTTGAGCTATCGTGACCTCGATCCACTCGGACATCAACTCGCCATCTCAACCTCAAAACTCATAAGGTGGGGTTGAGATGGGGAGTTGATGTCCGAGTGGATTGAGGTCACGATAGCTCAAGTGATAGAGCAGCGGCGTATCTAGCCGAAGGTCGTGGGTTCGAATCCCTCTCGTGCCATTGACTTTTTTCATCTCAACTAAAAACCTTAATTAATTGTAAATTATGACTAATGTATGGATTTAACTGCATATACTTAATTCCAGTCTTGTTGTAAATTTCCACGCTCTAACTTAAACTGTTTTGCCTCGAACAAATAGAACCTCTGTTCAATTTTTAATTGCTAATTTGCTTTGTCTTTTTGTAATTTCAGGGCTGGGCGGAGTTGGAAAGACACCCCAGTCGCCTCCACCGGTGGTGCAGCAGGGGAAAAGGACGTTGAGCCCTGACCAGACCAATCCTGCCGAACCAATTACAGAGGTGAGCCCAATAAAACTTACACCACAGGACCAAGGATTGTCTTAAATTTCATTTCTTACGGTTTATCTCTGAGAGTTTGACAGCCTTCATTTTATTTAAAAAATTCTCAATTAAATTAACCCTATGCGCAATAACTAAATTGCAAGTTTCTATAACAAATTTGATCAAATAAATCGTAAAAAAAATTGTTTTATTTATCTATCGGCTTGTCTGACAATCTTCTTAACTGAAATGGAAAAGATTTGCCATCCTCGTTTTTTTATAACATAAAAAGGAATATTGATAATTTGACGGAGAATTTTAGATTGGGTTGATTGCAGACGTTGGGAATTGGAATCCTTGGTTGAGCAACACACCTCGCAACCGTACGCCCAGAGAGATCGAATCTTATAAGTCATCGTCTTATAAATAAAAAGTTTTATTTAGTTCTTTTATTTAGTTTCTTTTAGTTCAAGTTCTTATAAATAAAGAAGTTTTCAATGTCTAATTTCGATCGTGAATCAAGAGTTTTTTTAATAATTTATAACATCTTTCAATTAATTAATCTTTATGTAAGCTTGAGTATTGTAAGGTTAAGATAGAAAAGTCAGTGTCACGAGCGGGATATTTACTATCATAACTAAATTTTTAAAATAAAACAGACGATACATAGGTTCATTGAATGACTAAAACAGACTTAAAGTTTCTTAGTACTATTATTCGGGAATCGTGAGATGCGGTCTGGTGTGACATAGTTTCAGGAAAACATTTTTTTATTTTGTCCACGTTTCGATCTTTATTGAGATCATCTTCAGCGCTCAAAGGTTTGTTTTCTGCGTAATTGTGCCATTCTTGTGTGTCGTGTTGAGAGTGCCCCAGGCACAATTACTCAGAAAATAAACACTTTGAGCCCTGAAGATGATCTCAATAAAGATGGAAACGTTGGCACGATAAAGAAAATGTTTTTCTGAAACCTACGTCACACCAGATCGCATCTCACGATTTCCGAATAATCATAGACTTGACTAACGGTCACTAATCACCACACGTTTCTAAGTATAATAATCTTTATGTACGGTATTGGTTGAGATAAAGAAATCAGTGTCATGAGCGGGATTGGAACCCACGACCTCCGGCTAAATACGCCGCTGCTCTACCACTTGAGCTATCTTGGCTTCGATCTACTCCGACACCAATTTCCCATCTCAACCCCACCTTATGAGTTTTGAGGTTGAGATAGCGAGTTCCAATTTTAAGATTTTTAAGATAATTTTGAGATTTTAAGAAACAGTATATATACAATCTCTCTTCCTACACTTTCTCTTTTTTTATCTCTTTCTCTCACATACTCTCTCTCTGTCTCTTTATCTTTTTCTGTTTTCTGTTCCTCTCTCTCTCTCTCTCTCTCTCTCTCTCTCTCTCTCTCTCTCTAGCTATCTGTTTATCCATTTATCTATCTATCTATCTCTCTCTTACTCACTAACACTTGTCTGTTTTCTTGAATCTCAAGTTTTCTGTCTACCTACTTTCGATTAATCTACCTCCCCTCCCTTAAGCCCTAAACTTGCCTTTGGAATCCCTCTTTATCTCTCTTTTTTTCCTATTTATACATTATAGTTGAATTTTCATCCTTTTAGTAGATATGTCTCCCATTCCCTCTCTCTGTCTTCACTCTCTCTTTTTTTTTGTCTCTTTCTCTCACATACTCTCTGTTTCTTTATCTTTATCTGTTCCTCTCTCTTCACTCTCTCTCTATCTCTCTATCACTCTCTCTCTCTCTCACTCACTCACTCACTCTCTCCCTCGCTCTCTCTCTCTCTCACTCTCTCTATCTCTCTCTTTCTCTCTTTCTCTTTCTCTCCCTCCCCTCGCCTGTCTCGCTTTCTATTATCGTTTGCTTACTCTTGCCTCTATTTATCTGCTCATCTATATGTGTACTTTATGTGTTTATCTCTATGTGCGCTCTATTATGTTTTTTGTGTATATATGTGTCTCTTCTATATTTGTAATAATCTTTGTTTTCCAACTATTAAACGACCATCCAATTCATATATGCATTTAACTATATAACTATCAATGTAATATCATTATTATTGAACCGTGGGAATCCAAAAAATTCACACAAAAGGAAATTAGTTTATCCAAATGCAATTGATAAACCTTAAACCTAATAATACAATTAGCATATTCAGAACTTGCATTAAGCAACATGGACACATACAATTGTAAGGATGGATAAAGTAGCTTACAAACCTGGGTACCTATTTAACTATTTGATGTTAATAATTTGTATCTTTGATACCATATTATAATAATACATCTAAAATTTCTTATTATTGACATTGTAACCACGTTTAACTAACTAGTATTAAACTAGTGTAAATAATTTTTAAAATAAAAAAATAGAAAAATTGCTATATACATGAAGTTTATATTTACAATATTTACACTACAGACAATTTTAAGCAGTTGATACAACAACACAGTATGTACTGGATGAAGGATAATCAGGATACACTAGCAACTACCACCATATTTACAAAAGTCACTATAACACAAATCATAAACGTCCATATCGCGCACAAAAAATGTCTTTCAGATGACGAAAAATCATCACATCCGTGAATTGTAGATAGTCAAATCCGTGAAAAGTAAATGGTCAAATCCGGGAAGAGGTCATAGTCAAGTTCGGTGAGTTTAGCGGGAGTTGCCACGCCTGAAATGGACAAAATTTGAAAATCAAATGGCTCGATGACCGATTTGAAATGGAAATATTCAAAAACTTACCGCACACTTCCATTAATGAAATCTCGGATAGAAGGTCCGTAAAAAATTGCTGCGTCGTACGCGTATCGGGCCATTTGCAAGTATTGCTGGTATCTCATTATCTTTGAGAATAGACTTTCACCATCTCCTTGCCCATCGTTCACCGGCTCCAGCTCTCCCTCGTCTTCCGGCACGATATTGTTAACTTTATAAAGGCCATATGCTCCGATTACTGCTCCTGCAGCGAGTAAAGCTACGTCTTGAAATGTTGCCATTTTGAATCAGCAAATTAGCAGTGTGAATCCGTTTTCAATTTTTAAGATTCTTAGAGACTCCGTTGTAGTCCGGGTTTAATAACTTTGTCACAATTAGGTTAGGTCAGGTTGAATTCGGTGAAAAAATATTGTTTCCGTTTGGCACAAAATTTTTATATTAATATTTCACTTTTAAATGAAGATTTTTAACGTAACCATAGAAACAGTACACTTCTGCATTTAGTATTGTTTCTTTATCAAAATCATAATTGCCCAGCAACCAGTTTAATTTATTTTTATTATTTTAGGACCAAAGATAAATTCTAATGTATGATTGCTTTATTCTATAGTTTAACAGTACATCAATTCTACGCTCACAAACCGTAATCGTTTTTCATTCCATGGAAAATCTTTACGGAAAAATATATATGTACCTAATGACAATCGTTTTTCCAAGCTCATGTTTCGCTTTTTCCATATATAGTTAGTCAAACTTAAAACCGATGCTTCGAATAAAAATTTACGGTTCTTTGCGTGTTGTAGATCCATTTTAATAAAAGGGATCTCGTGTTACGGCAGAAACAAACAGGTAAAAATAGGCTGTTTATTTCTATTGAGGCTGTGTCAGAGATAGTAAAGATTAGTAACCCTTTTACGGCTATAAAACATGTTTATGAAAAACAAATTATAAAACGGTATGACGCGTTCGTTAAGCAATTAATAATAAAGTGCGGTGATTAGTGACCGTTAGTCGATGATTATTCCGAGATCGTGAGATGCGGTCTAGTGTGACGTAGGTTTTAGAAAAACATTTTCTTTATAGTGCCAACGTTTCGATCTTTATCGAGATCATCTTCAGGGCCTGTGATTTACAAACTTTAAACTGTTTAAATTTAGTAAATATATGTAGAATGTGGAAAAAAAGTTAATTTATACAATGCAAGAAAATATTTTTTATATTCAGTCAAAGAATTTCTACTCTCTCAAAGTGTTTTTGTTTCTTCGAATTACTTTGATTTAATATAAAAAATATTTTCATGCATTGTATAAATTAATTTTTTTCCACATCCTACATGTATTTGTTAAATTTAAACAATGTTTGTAAATCCCAAACCCTGAAGATGATCTCAATAAAGATCGAAACGTTGGTACGATAAAGAAAATGTTTTTCTAAAATCTACCTCACAACAGACCGCATCTCACGATCTCGAAATAATACATAATAAAAATAAATATTTTTTTATTAATTGAAGAGAGTATACATTTGTAAAATTTTTATGTTACAATTGATGGGGTGGAGCTCGTAAGAGAGAGATAGGTAGAGTAGTATGTATATATACAAATATACATCGGATAAATCGGTCGATCGATTGATATAATTGATACCTAGGACTTTACCAATTAATAATAAGTAGGTATTAATTGAAGTATAGGTGGTGATATGTGGTCGAATGAATATGAAAGTGTATGTGTCCGTCGTTAACACGCTGATATCATAAGGCTTCAATTCAAAGCGATGTTATGCAGATGACCAAATAATAAAAGTCAGGGGCAATTTTGATCGTATATGTACTATTTAACTCAATGGAGAAGTGGTACGCTAAATAGGTACTAGGAGTCCTTCCCTCTAACCATGTACTCTTCACTAAAAATGGATTACTGCAAATTAAGTGTCCAATTCTATATAGTGAAGTACTTGAAATATCAAAACAAGCAATTTATCATACGAAAAGCGTGCCTGGTACACTCAGATCCTAATGAAATCTACAAAGCAATGTTGGCATCAAAACACTTTTGGTAGAATTGGTATCTAAGTATAACATTACTGCTCATAGCGATGGTAAGATCCATAATGACATAGACAAGTTTCATACGGTGACCTAAAGTTTATTTAAAGAAGAGTTATGTGATAAGTTCTATAAGAAACAATGTCTTGGCACAACAGGGGTCATGAACACTAATCAAACATCTGCACTGGAGGCAATGCTCAATTTCCCACTC